TCAAGGGATTTCAACAGACGCCAGCAACTCTGACAATAGACGCTCACGCACCGGCTACATCTACCGACTCGAACCTATCGGGCCTATCTCGTGGCAGTCGAGCAAACAAGAATTAATCGCTCTCTCCTCAGCCGCAGCAGAATATATTGCACTCTGCTCAGCCACCAAGGAAGGACTGTACCTCTGCGAACTACTGGAAGAAGCGAAGCTGGCTCAGTTACCCAGCTTCTCCCTGTTCTGCGACAATCAGTCAGCAATTCGCATAGCGAACAAATCCGGGTTCGCGAACAGAACGAAGCAGTTGAGCAGTTGCCCGAGTCGTTACTGTATCGAACCGCAACAGCAACAGTAAAAACGGTTATTGCATCCTTTCATATTCCTTGTAATCTTATAAAAGCTTGTATTACCTTTCTATAATCAATCTATCTTGCCCTCACATACTAGCGCAAGGTGGTTCAACACTTGTCATTAAACGCTTCCGCACTTACAACACTTCTACCTAGACTTTAGCCTTGAAAAAGATCCTAAGGGCTTTTTTCAGCCCAACGCACTGCTCTAGGCCTTGTGCCTACTCTGCCTCACTTGCTTACTGCTTGACTTTGCCTTGTACCGTGATCTTTATATATAAGCCTGCATGCTTATGCTGCACGTGAACTGGTCTTGTGACCAGACTATGTGGTGACTTTGTGATCCACCCTGAGCTTTGCTTGTTCTTGCTACCGTATTTACCCAGGTAATGGACCCGCCGAAATTATAGTCCCCCCGGGTCGTTAAATGGGGGGTCTAATGCTACATGCAATTTCGTAATAGACCCCCCATTTTTATGTGCGTATCGGAATAGGCCCACATGAATGTAGACAGTACAGTTTCGGGTGGAGCTGTAGCGAGCCAAATATTGCCGTTTCGTCAACTTCTCATGCGAAGTCAGAAGATTTGCTCTGACAGGTGCAAATTGACTTTATGCCTCCCGAAATGGTGCCTCGTGTCAGCGCGCGACAACTTCTCACTCAACACGAGATCGAAATGGTGCTGAAACACTGAATTTGAATAATATTAAGGGTACATTCCGCTGTAGAATATGTCCCAATCGATGTGTCCCAATCGATTGAGACGAGTACGTACAGCATATGCTGCCAGGTGTCGGAATGCCGTGCCGCCCGTGGTTGTCGCCGAATGTATTTATCATTGGGTGGCGTGATTCACGGAACAATCGCCAGCTAATTGCAACACACCCCATCAATCGCACGGGGTGCCAAATGTCATTGAATGCAGCATGTATCTGGACTACATTTTGCGTGACCCTCTATCCCCATCAACGCGTACTCAGCGATGTGATTGGTCGAAATGACCCAACCAGAATTATTGACAGGGACGCGCACTCCTTCGCCATTGCGCCTTCCCCCAGTTCCAGTGCACCTCCACCTCAACTCCTCCGCCACCCAACCCCATACAAGGTCAAGTTTGTGCATCTGCTTTGAAGTACCAATCTGAGATTTTCTCCCGCCTCCGCTCCCTCTATATCGAGATCTAGAAACCATCTAGCCGCAAGCATGGCTCGTAAGCGTAAGGTGCAGGCCCTTAACGAGTGTCCCAAGGATCTAAACGACATTCCGTACATCCGCTAGATGAACCAGCAGATCGCCAACGGTCGCCATCCTAGGGGATTATCCGCGCCGCCCGTTCTTGACGGCCAGGGATCCTGTGCACAGTCGCCCTCAGCAGCACCGTCACGTGTGCGCCGTCAGCCTGCAAGGACGGCAGCAACGCACCGGCCAGTCGTGGAGGAAGACGATGACGATGCTGACGACGACGACCGCGACGACGACGTCGTCTCCGACGACGAGGAGGAGGAACCTGAAGACCTTGGAATGTCGCCCAGCGACGACGACGACGACGACGACGACGATGCCGAGGAGGACGCCTCGGAGGAAGCACAGCCTGTCGCTCAGCCGCCGAGACGGAGCGCCGCACGCAAGCCAGGGTCTGATAAGGGCAAAGGCAAGGCGGCGCAACCTGCAGCACGCCCAGAGCCGCTGAAGAAACGGGCGGCCGCACCAGTCGAGCGTGGCTTATGGTCTGACAAGGAGAGCACCATTTTCGCCGCGGCGAAATGGTTCATGAAAGAGGAGCTCGAGCCTCTCAAGGGGAAGCAGGGGACGCAATACTGGGCCCGGCTGCTCGCACACATCAAGGAGTCGAACCCCGGATGGTGCAGGGGAGTCAACGCGCTGCAGAAACAGTGGCGTAACCTGATGCTCCTTTGGCGGGAGTATAAGCGTGCCGACGGGGGGTCGGGCAACGGCTCGGTGGAGAAACCTCCGTGGTATCTGTACCTGGAGCTGCACAACCAAGACACCGCCGCAGCCGCACCGCATGCGGTGGACGGAGGCGGCGCGACTAACGTTAACGTGCCGGCCGGCATGGAGGTTCCAACTTCATCCCAGCCAGTCACGTCAACACCATGCTTTACGGGTGAGTCATGATACTATTCCACGGTGTGAGTACGCATGCTTGCCTCACAAGTCGTTGTTTGAAACTGGCGTTATGATTATCGGCAAAAATGCATCATACATCAACATTGTGTGCACAGACTACTCTAACATGCTGTCTTCCCCCCTCCTCTGTTGCAGCTCCGCCTCCGACGACCACTGCCACACCCAGGCGCGCTCGGGTGCATGAGACGGCTACCATGCAAGCGGCGATGCTGGTCTCCGCCACCATCAAGGACTGCCACGGTGACGCGATGACTCGCATTGAAGGCCTCGTCCGTGAATGGATGGCGCAAGACCTGCGACTCGCCCGCGATCGCATGACTGAATCGGCTCCCCCGAATGTGCACCGTGCGCTGCCAGATTTCTCCCCTCCTCCGCCACGCGGGGAGTCTGCGCCACCCCCCGAAGCCACACAGCTGCGAGAAGATGTGGGCGACGTCAACACCGTCACTCCGGCTGTTGAAGATGTGGAGATATGGGTGCGCGGCGCCGACGATTAGCGTAAGAGTCCTGGAGCGCCTCACCCAGTCGTTTCCGCCTCTCCCTCAGTGCTTGTTGTGTTGCTGGAACACACGGTTCCCACTTGTGTGTCGCAATAGCACCCCGCGTCCACCATGGATCGCGGTTGCGGGGTAGGTTATCCCAGGCCATGTTCTTGCGCCTAACCTCTTGCATATCTTCACACATGTTGTGCAGGATCACACAACACGCGGCCCCAGCGAGTATGCGCCACAACCTGCAGTCGTTGCGCTGTGCGAAGATGCGCCATCTCCCTTTGAAGGCGCCGATGCACCTCTCCACCGCCATGCGTGTGGCGCTCTGACAGTAGTTGAAACATTGTGCCCAGTCGTCCATGAGGTCCTCTCCTCGTGGGGCATGCAGGGGTGTTAGGCAGTATTCTCGTAGAGGGTAGGCCTTCGTCACCAACAATCTGGTATGGGGCTATGTCCCCGTTGTGTAACCTCTCAAGTAGTGCAGACTCTTTGAAAACCCGCATGTCGTGCGCGCTGCCGGGATAGCTGATCACGTAGTCCCATATCATGCCTCGTGCATCACACGTTAGCTGGAGTTGTACGGCATTGGCCGACTTCCTTGTCCAGCACTCTGCTCTGTGTACTTCCATCCCTTTCATGTGGATATGAGTCCCGTCCACAGCCCCCACCACAGCAGGTATACCTTTGATGGCAGCAAACTCGCGTGCCATCTCGGGAAGCTCTTCACGTGTGGGGAAGCGCACCCAGGCGGCCTTGAATACGGAGGGGAACTCCGTGAGGAACTCGTCGACAAGCTCGTGGCAAAGTGTCTTGGAGACATCGAACAGGTACGACATGTCCACGTAGGAAATTCCGGACGCCAAGTACTTGATAGGGATGAGCACGGCGGTGTCCAATGTGAGTATTGACCGGTGTACTATGGGCTCTAGATAGTGTTGCAGCCCAGTCTTGATATGCTCCAGTATGGCGCGGTTTATCCTGAACAGATCCTGAAAATCGTTCTCCCGCATGTGCTGCAGGTCTTCAACCCACAGAGCGTGACGTCGCCGCCGTACTCTCGCTCTGTGACGGTGGTTCTCCCCGTAATCGTCCCCGAGCGATGAGGACTGCTCGTCTGCGTCCTCGAACACGCCTGACTCTATCAGGCCTACGAAGCTCTTCGCGACATTTTCGTGGAAAATGGTGTAGTAGTAGGTGACCCAGGCGATGAGGAGGCGTAGGATGAATGGGATGGTTCTAGGCTCTGCCATGTTGTGTGGAGTATGAATGCGTAGTATTTTTGTTTGTGCGTTGATGGATTGTACAAGCTCAATGCGTGGGACGAGAGTAGGCCACAATTGCCGTTTAGGCAATTATTGGTAGCGCGGATGTGTAATGTGTCCTCCGCGGTCTCCCCGTACATAAACAAGTATCTTCCGCGGGACTGGATCGCTGGTGTTTGTGCTTCTGGATTGGAAGTGTGCCAGAATGGACTTTGACCAATCACGGGGGGTCGCATATAATTGTCGCGCATCACAGCAGAGTCGCAATACATCTATCGATTGGGACATGCAGAATCGAGAAATTTGAGCGCGAATCGGCAAAAGTGGGATTGGGACAGATCGATTGGGACACATTCCACAGCGGAATAAGAATCCAACATAGGACTAGACCCTGGGTCTATTAAATTTACACCCAGTTAATAGACCCCCCCCCCCCCCTTTTTTTCCGGGGTAGGATTAGACCCCCGGGTTTATTACCCGGGTAAATACGGTATCCTCCACTTTGCCTATGGGATTGTGTCAAAACTGCAATGGGGTAGCCCATATAGGGTATAGCCCTTTTGAGGGTTAGGTACTTGTACTCTCATGCCTTGTTAGTGAACTCATTCCTGCTCGTTAGTTTCTGACAGAATGTACCCCAGTCACAAATCTCCTCACCAGGTTCAAATAGTCAGGTGGAGCCCCAGTTGTGAGGAAAATATTATTGGGATTTTTTACCTGTACATATGTACATTTACAATGCTCTCAATTGCTCAAATGCGTGAGATGTCGCGGCCAAAGAGCAGAGTGGTGGCCCAGTTGACGGCCACGTACAGGCGGTTGCGCCAGCTGATGACTCGAGTGAGGTATGCCGACCGCCAGATGAACCAGCTTGCGAAGCCCGCCAGGGAAAGGTGCCGCTTGCCTCCCTGCCATGGAAACGAGGACATGGAGCGGCACATCTAGATATAAGTGAACAAAACTCTAGTGAACCATCTGGCAACACCAACAAGCGACATGGAGGGGGTGAACAAATAGGTAGATGGGCAGGCAGAGGGCATTGGCAAGTGAAGAGTGTGGTACCAATGGATGGCACGTGTGCATGAATAAGCACCACACGTTGCCAGGCTTTCGGCTCCATGGGGCCGGTCAGACAACGCAAAGCACGAAGCTAGGGTGCGAGGCACAAGGCATGGGCAATGAGGCGCGCAATGCAGCACGGTACCTGGCCGATCTGCAGGTCCACGAGAGCCTTGTAGCGCCCCACCGTGGCCATGCTGCCCAAGTGCCGGTACACAAATGGCTGCTCCTCCCCTCCCCCACCCTCTCCTGCACCCGCCTTGCCAGCGCCTGCCTTGCCCATGCGGTTGAACCTCACTGCCAGATACCGCCCCTGCCTCTCCGCCACCTGCGCACACTCTACGGAGAGATGGGGGAGGGGGCAAGGGCACGAACGGAAAAGGGGGGGGTGTGGTGTGTGGTGAGGCGAGGCAAGGAGGGGTGGTATGGTGGACTCAACAACACAACATACTGGCCTTCTGTCTCATGCCCATGATTAATGCATGAGCTCCCCACCCTCCGCTCCCCAATCCATGCCGCCAGTGTGGCACCCACCTGAGCAAGCGCAGGCAGTGTGGGACAACCAGTGCTCTCATGGAAGCCGGCACAGTCACCCAACGCAAACACGTCCGCCTCCCCCACCACCCTCAGACCCTCCATAACTGCTATTCTAAGGTGCACAGGAGGCAGGACGGGTACAACGGGAGGCTGTTAAGTGAGAAAACACGTCAAGTATGCACACAGTAAAAACAACACACGTCAAGTGGTAGGGCGTCCAAGGCAGGGTCTGCTTCGCTGAAAGGATGGAGCGAGCGAGATGGAGGTGCCGGGCAGCATTGGGCAAAGCGCGTGATAAGGATGAAGATACTTATACTCCATGTACTTACCACACACTGCAGCTGAACCCGAATGCAACGCTGTTTGAAATCTACAAGAAAAATAGCACGACGTCGTTCTTTGCATCCTCACAATCCAACAACCCTTGCATTCCTCTCCAACGTCCCCTCCTCCTCTTCACAACCTCCGCCCTCACGTGCTGCAACACTTGAAAACGGGAGCCAACGGCCATGGTTGCTACAGCCAGAGGCACGTGAACCCCCCTCCTCGCCCCCATGCGCACCTGCCAGCAGCAGTGTGTGGGAAGGGCAGCCCCTTGACGAATTCGGAGGGGCCAACCCCGGTGGACCAGACGAGCAGCCCATAGGGAATGACAGAGCCGTCCGTCAACACCACAGTGCTGGCCGTCACCTCCGCCACCTGCCCGCGCTTCAGCGACACTCCACTCTGGTCATCGGGAGGAGCACATGGGTGCACATGAGTGGGCGGTGGGCATGAATGCGTGGGCGAGTGTACAGTTTATGCTATTGGTGGGGCAGTATGGAAGGTCGGGAATAGGAGGCATGCGAGGTTTAGTAGAGAATGTGGTTCTGTATACGCAAAAGGAACAAGCAGGGAGGGGGAACAACGGGAGTTGTAACAGGTGAACACGGCGCTGACAGGCACCCTGCAGTAGAACTAACGAAAGGTGAATGTAAACGAGTACGGACCTTGGTGAGGTGGCGCACGGCATAGTCGCGCAGAGAGACATCGAACGATGACAGAATGTCATGTGCCTGCATGGCGAGCAGGGCAGGGGAGAGGGCAGAAGGGAGAGCAGGGTCCATGGAATATGTGAGCTGACTTAGCACACAGACGCAGACACATGATCCTTCGAAATCACTTACACTGTAACCCACCAGTCAACTCAACGAATGAACATGCTTAAGCAGAGTACGAGAACCTTCTGAAAAGGCCTTGATCTGCCACTCGCATCAGCAGGAGCCGTTTACATGTGGCCTGATGTAGCATGATAGCATGGAAGTACAGGCGCACCTCGATGAGGGTGACGTGCACGTAGTCCTTGACATGGGCGTACTTGGCGCGCACGTCCCTGCGGATGAAGTCACTCAGCTCGCCACTGAACTCCACACCCGTCGGCCCCCCTCCCACCACCACGCACGACAGCAGGCGCCGCTTCTCCTCCTCCGGCAGCCCCGCCAAAAGTGGTTGGCACACACGGACCACAAAAGGTGCCACTCTCACAAACACACACACACGGGAAGACATTCACACCTGTAGCCCTCGCAGTGCAGGGCGGACATCCCACACCCCACGGCCAACGCATCCCTCGTCGCCTGCCGTCCCCCGCCTCCCCTGCATACCGGGTGTGTCGCTCTTCATGAGGTTGAGCAGCAGGCGGCGGCGGATGGTCTGGGCGTGGCGCACCTCGCGCAGGAACAAGGCGTGCTGCTCCACGCCCCTGATGCCGAACGTGCTGGCCTGCGCGCCCACCGCCACCACCAGCTTGTCGTACGCGATGCTGAAGCGCCACGTGCTGCCCAGCGGAGACGCGCTGGGGCCCTCGTCGTCCACGTACTCGCACGTGATCTGGGGGCCAGGGACACGCCGCCACAGGGAGGAATCATTGTGAGAGGACCGTGTAGGGGGCGGGGCGAACGTACGGGTGGAGGGAAAGGGAGCGTTGAAGGGAGAGAGTTGAGAGTGGGGTGAGCAAGATTATGTAACCGATTCATACATGGCACTCCCACAGTGTGCATTTCATGCCTTCTCTCCGTCTTCCTCCCCCCCACCTTCCGTGAGCACCATGACCGCGTGCAAGCACGGGGGAGCAGGGCGCGCGTCACCTGGTGCTGGCGCAGGTGCACGGCGGTGCAGGTGGCGAGGAAGAAGAAGGAGGAGGGCGCGTGGGAGACGGCGGGCTGGATGTGCTCCACGGGCTCCGCCACGGACCGGAACTCCAGCGTGCCCACGCACGTGGATGCCAGCAGCGGCGTGAACACCATGTGGTTGCGCGACGACACGCACACCACGTCCCACACACGCGTGTCCACGTCGCGCAGGAAGCGGCACGCCGCCCACCCCGACCCCAGCACCACCACGCGCGGCTTCTCGCCTGCTGCTGTGGGCGGCATCCGCCCGCCCTGCCATGCAGCGGTGGTGGTGGGAGCATAGGTGTGCTGTGCAGGGCGTGCAGAAAAAGGCGCAGTGCCGTGATCAACCCTCATGCCAGCAGCAGCAGAGGTGCCTTTTGTGGCGTCCGCAACCCCTTCCACCCGTTTCCCCTCCCCCTTCTTCCCCTCAAGCCCCTGCACCCCTGTCACTCTCGCGGCTTGCGCCGATCCCTCCTGCGCGAGAGGTGCGGCGGAGGCGATGCGCGCGGGTGACGGAGCGGCGATGCGCGCAGAAAAGGGTGTCTGCGCAGATTCTCCGCTTGCCAGGATGCGATGAAGCCTGACGGGTGGAGAGGCGGCAGTGAGAGGCGGAGAGTGGAGCGAGTGTAACGCGCGGGGGGATTGGATGGCGGAGAAGTTGCGCAGCGAGGCGAGGGCGAGGGCTTCACGAGCTTGCCGCTGGCATCGCCGGGCGGCGAGCCATGCGGCCCCGATGAGCCGCATAGGGGACGACGACGAGCAGCACGAGGAGCCCTGTGCGAGACGCGTAGCGCTGATAGCGGCGAGAGGAAAAGAAGGGAGCAGGGTGAGGCGTGGAGAGACGACGGATGTAACGCCTGTGGGTATTCCGCTGCGCCAAATAACACCCTCGTTTTGACCCAGTGGGTAGCGAGGTGTTATACTGGTTTCAGAGCCTAGGGTTCAAATTCTGGCTGATCCACATTTTCCGCCTGAGGCGAGAAGTTGAATGTGGTTACCAGATTGAACCCAGCGAATGATCCTCCACTGGCCTGGTCCACCAGCGAAGTCGCTGCTTGGGGCACAGCGAATAGGTCCCTGCGGGGGCCGACTCCCTGAAGTTCGTCAACGAGGACGTTGACACCAGGGGGGGACGAGTGTAACGCCTGTGGGCTGAGTGTTAATGGGCATTCCGCTGCGCCAAATAACACCCTCGTTTTGACCCAGTGGGTAGCGAGGTGTTATAACGGACGGTGCGGATAAAACAAGATTTGACAGTGGGGAGCAGGGTGAGACGTCGGAAGGATTGCGTAGATGTTACATTCATATTTCACAAAACATAAGGACAAGCAAATATATGTGTTTATATAGCACCAAATTTTATTTTCATGTGTAAATGGCAAGCTAGTGAATTCTTGATTATGGAATAAAGTGATTGTTAATTATTTAATTTCTAAAATATGGGAGAATCTATGGAACATTTGATTGTTTTTAATTTAGTAGTTAACTAAAACTAGTAAACAACTGTATTTTATATCCTCGTTATGATATTATGTAACACTAAACTACCAAGTTCTTGCTCTAGCTGAGGTGTGGTTCAAGATGTGAGTTGTGTTCTCACGTGGCACCAGAGTTCGCTATTTGTTCTAGATTCCAAGTGTGTAATACACGTCATCGCTTCATCCACCCACCCACACACCTCGTCATCGCCTGTCCCTCCCACTTTTCCATCGCTGCTCCCTCCCACTCTGCCATCAAATCTCCCTCCATCCCGCCGTCGCCTTCTCCTTTCCTCCCGTGTTCGCCTCTCTCTGCTCCTCGCCGTCGCCTCTCCCTGCTCCCCGCCGTCACCTCTCCCTCCCATCCGCCGTCGCAGCTCCCTCCCATCCGCCGTCGTCGCTTTCTCCTCCCGCCATCGCCTCTCCCTCCCATCCCACCATCGCCTCTCCCCCCATCCCGCCGTCGCCGCTCCCTCCCATTACGCCGTTGCCTCACCCTCCCATTCCGTCGCCGCCTCTGGCGACAAGTCACGAGCAGGCTGGTGGGCGAGCGCGGTTTGGTCTCTACACCGTGAATTGCAGGTGCGTTTACCCTTCCCGGTCCGTTTTTCCTTCCTTTCCGGTACTGAAAGGTCATATATTTCCGATTTATCCTATTTTATATGTAGTTTTTGTGTGTTGATTGGTCTCTTGCGTTGCACTACTATTTGAAGAGGGGGAAGAGGGAGCGCGAGGGAGCGAGAGCGCAGGAGAGTGCGCGCGTGAGAGCGAAGGAAGCACTAGAGGGTTATAGGGTGGCAGAGCGTGCAGGAGGGAGAGTGGGAGGGAGAGGTGCGAAAGAGAGAGCGCCGTGCGCGCTTGCGCCGTCGGCGCAGGCGCCATTGGCGCTTGTGCCTTAGCCGCCATTGGCGCTGGGGCCGTGGGCGCAAGTGCCATGGGTGCTGGCGCCTAAGGCGCTTGCACTTATGGCGCAGACGCCGTGGCCGATTGCGCCTAAGGCACTTGCGCCATGGGCGCTGGCGCATAAGGTGCTTGCTCCTCGGTGGGTGCTAGCGCCTAACGCGCATACGCTTAGGGCGTGAGCGCCGTGGGTGCTGCCCCATGAGGCGCTGGTGCTGTGGGCGATTGCGCCGGGGGTGCTGGCGCATAAGGCACTGGTGCAGTGGGCGCGGGCGCCGTGGGCGCTTGCATTTAGGGTGCTGGCCCCTTAGGCACGGGCGACGTGAGGGCGAGACTTGGATGTGCACGTGCACTTGCGGGTGAGTGCGGTTGTGAAGGCAAGGGCAAGTGCGGGAGTGAGTGTGAGCGTGAGTGCGAAAGCAAGTGTGAGAGTTGCTAAGGCGAGTTTGAGGGTGAGTACGAGTGTGAGTGTGTGTGTGTGTGCGTGTTTGTGTGCTGGGGTGAGTACGAGGCTGAGTGCAAGAGATTGTGTGTGTGCTTCTATGATTGTCGAAGAAGGGTTAAGGGTACATCACATGTGTTTGAGTGAAGAGTGAGTGCGATAGTGAGTGCAAGAGTGAATGCGATGGTGGCTGCGATGTTGAGTGCAAGTTTGAGCGTGGGTGTGAGTGCGAGGGTGTAGGAGTGAGACGGTGTGTGTGAGGGCAAGTAGGAGAGTGAGTGTGATAGTGAGTGCGAGGGCGAGTGTAAGCGTGAGTGTGGGTGTGGGTGTGAGTTGTGTTCAAGTGTGCCACAGAGGCGTCGACTGTGTGCGCGTGTACGTATGAAAGTCCTCGGGTGAGTGCGCGAGTTTGAGGGTGAGTGCAAGGGTGTGTGTTTGTGTTTCTGAGGGTGTAAGAACGGTTGACAGTAACTGTGCGTCTGTGAGTGGTTGCGAGGGTGAGTATGAGAGTGTGTGACCAAAAGCAAAAAAAAAAAAAAAAAAAAAGAAGAAGAAAAAAAAAACATGAGAATCTGTGAGGTTGTGAGGGCGGTTTTGAATCCGGGTGCAAAAGCGGGTGTGAGTGCAAGTGTGAGTCCATGCATGTACTTGAGGGTAAGTGTGAGGGTGCATGCAAGTGCGTGTATGTGCGGATGAATATGAGAGGAAGTACAAAGGTACGTGTTTAGGTGAGTGCTAGGGTGAGAACGAGAGCAAGGGTAAGAGCAAGTTCAAGAGTATATGTGAGTGTAAATATGATGGTGTAGGGTTTGGGGTGAGTGTGAGCCAAGTGTGAGTGTGCTTGCGTGCGCGTGTAAGTATTTGTGTTAGTATGATTGGGAATGAGAACGATCATGAGTGCAGTGCAAGAGTAAGTGCCAAAGTGAACGTGTAGGTTTGTATGTGTGCTTCTATGAGTGTGAATAAGAAAGTTGAGAGTATTTGTGTGTGTGTGTGAGTGGGTGCGGGATTGAGTACAAGGCTGAGTGCGAACGTGAGTGTGAAGTTGAACTTGAGGGTGGCTTCAAGGTATGGCATCATGCTCGTGTAGTATCTGTGGTGTCATGACTAATACCAATTTACCTCTGTGAGCTGTCAAATCGATTGCTCATCTTTTTCGATTGTTCTTATTTTTTATTTATTATGTGAGCTGCATTCTTTGCTGTTGTCTTCTTGTGCAATGCTATGAGGTGTACTCTCTTTGATTTTGCTTTCTTATGCAGTGTAGGTGAGTTGTTTCCTGCTTGGCCTCCTCGCAGGGCACATGAGTTGCATGCTCTGTCCACGTACACCAGAAACATGACAAGGCACTCCTTTTCTCCCATGAGAAAGAGGCTCTCGTTGCATGCGCTTGCCCGGAAGCCTATTTCCTCCAACACCAATAACAACTTCTTGTACCAACAGCGAGGTGCTTGCTTAAGGCCGTAGATGGCCTTAATCAGCTTGCACACACGCCCGGTACCATCCCAATAACCCGGTGGCTGTGTCATGTAGACCTCCTTGTCAACAAGCCGTCGAGGAATGCCGCAGTGATGTCCATTTGGACAATCATTGACCCACACGCGGCTGTATCGCTAAGGAGAAGACGGAGTGTTGGCGGCATCGCAGTTGCAACAAACGTCTCCTTAAAATCCTCCCTCTCCTTTTGCTGATACCCCCTTGCTACTAGCCTGCATTTGTAGACCAACACAACTCATTTGTTGTCAGTTTTGATCCTAGGGATCCAGCCATATCGGATTGTTTTTTTTTCCCATTGGCAGTGGTACCAACACCCAATTCCTGTTCTCCATTTGGCTGCTGTATTCCACATCCCTTGACGCCAACCACTTGTCTCTATCCAGTCCATTAAGCACTTCTTCCATGGTGAGTGGTTGAGTCGGTGCGGGTGACATGAAACAATTGACTTCCCCCTCTTCTTCCTCATCAGAATCATAGCTAAGTTTAAGCACCAGCAATGCATCGTGTTGCTACTACTCTCCCCTTGCTCCTCCATGATCCCTCTGCTTCAATGCGGCTTCTTGCATCTGACTTACGATTATGGGTGAAAGGGCATGTCCTGTGGGTGTTGGTTTGGATTGGGTCCTTCGTGAGAGAAGAGTGGGGGGAATCACACGAGTTATGGGGTGAGGGTTCTTCGGGTGCAAATGCTGGCTTCATGCCCTTTACCACGGGAAGCTCCGCTACACCCTCCCCCTCGAGTGCCGTTGCACCCTCCTCTTCAACCCACTCCTTTGCATCAAACCCTATCGTCGTTTGCTCTAGCTGCTGCATGATTTTCTCCTTTGGTTGCTTGCACCAGCTCCCCCAAGTGATGTCCTCCATGAATCTCACATCCCTGCTATCAAATACCACTCCCTTGCTCAGCTCCACAGCAGCCCCCCCTTGCTTTCTGCTGCCAACCACAAGTGCACACACCAAACAGCCGTTGCACCCAACTTACTACGGTGTGCCATTGCCATGCAACCAAACACACGCAGCATATCAATGGGCGGCTTCCTCCCAAGCCACCTCTCCATGGGGACCCATGACTCACCACCTAAGTTGGTGAACACCTGGTCTTCACCACCGTGGCGTGGTGCACAGCATGTAGCCACTTGGTGTTCCCCAAGCCCGACTCGATAAGGAGTGTACGTGCTGTCTCCTAGACTGTGCGGATGGCCCTTTCAGCTACACCGTTGGATTATGGTGTGTATGAGGTGGTATTCTCGCGGATGATGCCCTGCTTCTTCAACGAAACAGTCAGTTCCTCCCCAAGGAACTCCCCACCCCAGATTGTCCTTATCCGCATCACCTTGTTCCCGGACTGCTTCTCTACCAACGGCAACCAATCGTTACGAATGATGGACGGCACGTGGTCTTCCTTCTTGATTGGATAAGCCCAAGTC